CCATGGAAAACCTGGGAGCACTGGAGGTTGAGACTCCTCACCGGCGCGCATGCACGACCTCGCCTCGCAATTTCGTAAATTGGTTGAAGTCACACATCAACGCCTTTGGATACCGATCAAGCGTTCCCGCAGGAGATCGATAGGTCCTGGGTTCGAATCTCACAAAGCAGGATCTTGGATGCACAATACTGAGGAGTTCCATACTAGAACAAAACGACCATCCAGTGCTTCCAGGTTTTCCATGATGATCTAGCTTTAATTGACCCATGAATTAAACTATTAAATTTCTATAATATCCACAGAATCCCTCCCCAAATAAATGTTTACATTTATAAACTAGTAATGAGACACTTGTCCTGATATAATGATTATTATTCATCAAATATGCGACAGTATATTTAGAAAATTATCATTATATTCAAGTGTATGTTACATATATATTGTAAGCAAACCAACAATCTATAATTCATAAAAAAACATTATTCAGATAGATGATAATTTTTAATTAATTCAGTGAGGAATCATATAAATATAATTTTCATTGAAAATGGCTTGTATTAATCCGATTATTTCACCGTTTAAAAATGAGTTTACAAAGTTACAATACAGTTAGATTTTGATGCTTCATTATTTAGAAATTTACTCAGCTGTTTCATATTTAACAATGACAGATATTTAGATGAATAATAATTCTTAAATGTGAAACTTTCTATGGCTTAAGATTAATTTAATACAATGAATGATGCTTATAGACAATTGAATATTTTAATTGTATGATATTTCAAGAATCATTTAAGCATAGACTTTGTATATTTTATCCAACTAAGATTTCTTTTGATTGAAATATTTAAGTCAATTCCGAAACAATATAAACAGACATAATAATAAGGTTAACAAATTATCAACACAGAAACTAATAATGATTTACTGATTCTTCATCAATAATCACTGGGATACTAATAAATGGAAATAGGAATTATGAGATCTATTTGATTCATTGTTATTGGTTAATAATAGTTTGGGTTTCAATATTCAATTTGAAAATATTGAGTTGCATTGATAAATTTTTGAATACGATTATAACCAAAGGTACAAATCATTTCCAGGCTATGGAAATAATGAATTATGCGTTGTGTTTTTTTTTGTTACCGGTATTGGACTATCAACAAAAGATACTCTGTATCTAAGACAATTGCAAAGCAGAAGTTTGATAATCAATATAGCACATAGTGATAAAATAGAACTCATAGCTAATAGCCAACATAAATCAGAATGATTGTATTCTCATGTCATAATTTTGAAATAGTTTTCTAGCTACTACTATTATTCACACAATCAATGTTGCTTATAAAATTATTGAATTTTCTTTTGAAGCATTTGTAATATCAATCAAATTTTAGATAGTCAGCGTAATAAAAAGATCAATCTTGTAGTAACTCTGTATTATGACAGGTTAATACATATATATTTTAAAATGATGTAGGGTCTTATTAAATTACACTGTTAAATGTATCAAAATGGTGTGGTTTTATTGATGGTTAGAAGTGATAGAATTTTGGCCAGTTTCTAATATGAAATCTCATCAATAAATCAGTACATGATCCGTCAACCAAAAAAAGCCTTACCTATAAGCTTTGATTTGCTTTAATTATATAGAAAAACATTACTAAACACTCAACCATAATAAAAAAGATCAAACAACAACGGGAATAATAAGATGGAAATCTGATTAGACTAGTAATTGGACTAGACTAAATATTCAAAATTATCGCAATTAGTCTAATTTATGTGACTTAATTGTAATCTATTGCGTGATGAGACATTTTATCAGATAGTTGGTAAACAACTGTATATTTATATCGTTTCTGTTTTATGTACGACGCACACTTGTAAAAGTCAGCTATTATGTAACATATTTTGCACTGCAAATAGTCGATTGAAGAGGTGATGAATTTTCTTTAGGTGAGTTTGAAATGTCTTCACTGACATGGATAGGAGATTTTCATAACAGTCAATCAATACTTATATAAACATTTTAAAGTATATTGTGTATCGTTCTTTACTTCACTACAATGCGAAATCTACTCTATCACTTTTGATTAGACCGGCTACTTTCAGAGGATAACGTGGATGATTTCACTTTTTTGAATGTTAAACAAATTTCAAATGTAATGTTTCTTTTCTCCAGCAGTATTAGAAAGTTAAAATTTTGATACATGTTTGGTTATCTCTATCAAGCTTGGAATCCATCTCAAAAGTCAATGACAATGAGCATAAATGCTCGCTATAAGCAAACATGGAAGGTGGCTAGCAGTGGAATTCAGGATGTACTCAAGATATACGTAAACAAATAGAAGGCTAATTAATTGCAGTCTTGATTAACAAATGAAAACATTCAAACAAACAATACAAAATGAATATAAATGACCACTACTTGCTAAATTAGTTTTTCATCAGTGGACTATTACTTTGGATTAATCTTTTTTTCAGTGGTTGAAATCATGAGTCAATGAAGCCAGATCACCATGGATAACCTGGAAACACTAGATAGTCGTTTTGTCCTAGTATGGGACTTCTCGCCGGTGCGCACACACGATTCCGCCCCCCGTGAGATTCGAACATAGGACCTATCAGTCTCGCGCGAGCTCATAAACATTAGAACACTGAGTCAGCTGGTATCCAACTGTGTTAATGTCTAACTCCGACCAATCCACAAAATTGCGTCACCGTCACCATGGATGCGCAATGCTGATGAGTCTCATACTAGGGCGAAACAGCCGTCCACTGCTTCAAAGTTTTCCATTGTGGTCTAGCTTCAATCGACTCATGATTTAAACTATTGAAATTACTAAAATCTCCACAAAATTCCTTCTGATATTAATCATTATTTTTACCAAAAGTTAACACTAGTTCAAAATAAAATAACTTTCCAATACTCCTTTGATTTTCATCAATTTACAACGAAATATCGATTAGTAAAAAATACCATTTGAAAATATCATAAAAACTACCATCTAAGCAATTCAGTAGTTTACTATGTTTGATTTAGTTAGAGATATTTGGTACTTGTGTTGTTTCTTTTTTCTTGATTTTGAAACGTTAAAAAAATTAAGTTTCCTCTAGAGTAATTGACTTAAATACGGTATATTGTCTTTATGCCGTAAAAGTATTTCAGACGTTTTTAGTATGCAATTTTTAGCAACATTTATTTCTATTGATCAATTATGATTCAAGTAGATTGCGCTAATCACTCTCTTTGATCATAAAAGTTATTCATTATCTGGATTGTGTGAAGCAATAAGAAAATGTTTATAACTTTGTTGCCAAATCATCAAATTGGCTAAATGTTTTGATAATTTTACAGACAGAATATTAAATTGAATCATTATTTATAATAATTTAATTTGTATTGATTTGGAGTGAATATCAACGTTTTAGCGCCGGTACATTCAACTTACGAATCTCAAAAAGGATGACATGTGCGATCTTGATTCAACTCTTAGCCACATTCCACTTTTTATGTCTACAAATGGACATGATTCACTTTCAAAACAGACTTAAAATGGTTTATGTATTAATAGATATGGTTAAAGTTTACGTTAGCATCAGGACGTTAAAAATCGATAGTTATACATAACTGAAACACATGAATGAAATATGGAAGTTGTTAGGTTGAAATCGTTTAAGCTGAGATCTATATTCAAGTCATTACACTGAAAAAATGATTTTGATAGAAACATTATACCATGGCCATAAAACGTCTGTAACCAAATGTTGAGAAAACATGGCTTGCAACGATTCTTATTATATAAACCTAATTTTGAAAAAAAATCATTCAAACGGGTTTGACCATTCTAGGCTAGCTAGATGAAAAAAGAGAATTTTGTTCATACAAACAAGTATATGGCCGACTTTTCTCAAAACTGATATTCAAATCAAAGAATAGGGAAATATATTTATTTTTTAAAAATCCTGAATGATAATGCTTAATTTCCCTGTAACTATCATGTTTACCCAGTAAAAATAATAAACTTATTAAATAAATATTGGTTCAACATCATCATCAACATCATACACCGAAATGAATCATTAATATACCCTTGTTACTGTGTAAATTGGCATAAAAGAAGATAATTTAGAAACAAGCATATCATTTCATCATATTGATGAATAATAACCGTTATAAAGCTGAAAAAGAACCAATGTTTAACAGTTTTATCAGTCGGTCATTACAGTTTTTAAACTGTCTGAACATATTAACAGATTACAAAATAAGCAATTCTCATGGAGTGTTGAATTATGTTTAAAGTTTTCTTTTTGTATACTTAATAGAATACACTGATAAAATACACGAATGTGTTAGTTCACGTAGCAAAGTACACATTTTGAGAAAATATTTTTAAAAAAACGAAGGCTTCAATCTTGGATACGCAAATCTTGTACTTAGTGATGACAATATTTGTTCGACGTAAAACATCTGTAATTTTGTCTAAATTTTAAAATCATTTCAAGGCTACAAATGGATGTGAAAAGTTAATAACTTTCTAATGTCATATTCTGTTTAGTTATGTAATCAACTGTCACAATAAACTATAACTTTGAGAATACAAAGCCACATTATATCTCAATGATCATAATTATCGATGGATATTTACTTAAACAATAAGAAACTGTTAAACATTTAAATGTATTCGTTCAATTTTTAAGAGATGTCGACCATACTATAATTTATGGACGAACCAATTAGGTATAAGATAACAGATCTCGGATTTTGGAGTGAAATTTATTCATCCATTTGAATAAACAGAGTTTCGGCATTTTAGTTGATATCAGTTCGTGATGAAAAACCGTAAATCTCATTTCTAACCTTAATTATAATTCCACATACAAACTTATAACTCTCATTTGGTTCTGATTAATAGGTGGACAGTCTCTCTAGGTCAGTCAAACGTTACTCAAAGATCATTCATAAATTATAGTCTAATCAAGATTTCACTTACTTTTATACTTGTAGGCATTTCTAATAAAATTGGAATAGTATTTCCAACAGAATGATAATCTCCATTCCATACTGGTGATATTGTTCCTTGATTAAATTCAAGATTTGTATTTCTAGACCATTGTTCATGTAATATTAATGGATCAATTGTATCATTAATTGTATTCGATGTATTTATTCCATTTAAATAATTTATAATACATGGATTAGTTAAATTATTAAGATTAGGCTGTTGTATACCTAATGTATGCGTTGACCATGATGGAATATTTGTATTACCATTAGGAATTTGAAATGAACAAAGAGTTTGAGATTTTTGATTATTTGGAAAATTTAATATACCTTGTAAAATATAAACCATTTCATAATTTTAATATAAACCATACATATATATAAATATAATTCCAGAATATAACTAATATAAGTAGTATATATAGTTTCAGTATAATTTTCTCTGAATAGTTTCAACAAAATGAATATTGAATGGATCTAATCAATAATAAGGATTAATATATATTCTGCTGTATGATTTTAATTGATAAAATAAGCACTGACAACTAAATCTATTCAGAATGATTGAAATAAGGGAATACTAATGGAATAAATGAATGAATAAATGAAGATATTAAGGTAAATAAGTAATTACTTTTGATAATTTATATTATGAGCTTATTTTTTTAAATAAAAAAGAATTAGGTCAAGTGAAATTTTTTAGAAATTCCAGTTCCATTATTTACCTGATCACTTATCTTTTATGATATATACTCATTATCCAGTGTTTACAGACATACTCACCTAGATATATATAAAGTTATCCCAGTTGTTAACAGTGACAGTTAACTAACCAATCACATTTTCAATCAACTGCCATATATGAGCTCATACTGTCTACACTTAACCATATTATCTGTCGATACATATGCACATGAATAGTCGGGCAAACTTGAGTAAAATCAAATACATATATATATATACACTAACAAATAAACCTGTAATAGACTCAACAGAAGTTTATTTTCTCTTTTTTTTATGGAATCATTTTGATTAGTTTATTCCCATCGACCAGTATTATTAGATGGATAATGTTTTAATTGAATCAGTATATACATACATATATATATATATATATATATATATATATATATATATATATATATATATATATATATATATATATATATAACTAGGCATTTATGATTATCACAATGTTAACAATCAAACATCAAAAAACTATTTGACTTGAAACTGTGTATAGAATAAGTTAATATTTGGCAATAAAAACCTTTCTACTCTTTATTTGACAATAGAAAACGGAAATTCATCAACGTACTGCAGTATAATTTCATTTAGGTCTGGCTTAGGGAAACAGATATAAATATGCAATCACGTTGTCTCACCGGAAATTGTTTCAAAATTATGTACATAATCAAACAAGGTGCCTAACAAAAAGTATAAATCAAGAGTTGAGAAGTTTTTGACATCTCAATGATTTTAATGCAAATATCATATGTAAATAAAAAGATTTTAATTTCCTATTGTAACATAATTCCATATCACTTTGTGAAGGTTTTCCAATGGTTATTCATAAATTTCCATTATCTTTATCAATATCTATTTAGTGTTTCATGATTTTGTTTGAATGTTATCTCACATGTTTTCTAAATTCATAAAGTATTTTCATCTTATAAGCAAAGATGGATAGTGGTTAGCAGTGGAATCCAGGACGCAATATCGAGGCATACGCACAGTATGCACATATGCCAATAAGAGACTGATCAATTTCAGTCCTAAAACATCAATGGGAAGATTCAAGTAAAACAATACCAAGTGAATTATTTTCATCTCAGTTCTATTCAAAAGCTTTCACATCATTTCATAACCATCATTTCGATTAATAAAATATTTATTTCGAAACATAACAATACAATGATATTTATTTTATCCTTTCACCAAATTGTTTTTTCTATATTCTAGATTCATTTATTTGATTATTTGAACATATAAATACTGGTACAAGGGTGCATCAGATACATATGCGCTACACAAATTTCATTAGAATTGTGTGAGGGCTGTGATATTATCTAAGTGCTCGAACCGAAACAGGTGGTTCTCTTAGGGGGCCACACCCTGAGTCTTCGACCGAAAGGTCTGGTCCACAAGGCAGAGGGGCGACGATAGGAAATACAGTTCCATAGAAGACAGTGACCAAACGATCGGCTCATACTCCATTTGTTCCTCTAGGATCATGAAGCTCATATGCACTATTGGTTTGGAATCGAGGTTTACCAATCCCCCTAGATGAACTCTCCGTGTTCATCAATCCGGTTAAAGCTCCGGACATTTGTTTTAGGTCCTCTCAGTTTCGTAAACAATATCCGTGGTGCGAGAAGGCAGTGAGTAGGACTTCTCTGACAGTGGTTGTATGTACGTGGCCATGTGAAAGCGTTTTGAGAGTTAGAGTCGACACACCACTCTCGGCCGTACCAGGGCACTTGGGGACCAGCCATATCTGGGCATTTAGGGGCCAGCCTTATCAGGGCATTTAGTGGAAAAATATATAACTTGAGAGATTAACGTGTATACAGTCTTACATGAACTGGTGCAAAACATCATTTAATTTGAGAAAGATTTTAATTTATGGATCATTATTTCTCGTAGACTTTTATTAAGATGTCAATATGTGATATGTACTACTGATACCGACAGATATAAGTAGTATATATCGTCACTCGAAAGTGAAATACTTGGTTGCAAACGTTAAGAAGATCAAAAACAGTGAATGAGAACCGAAAATGATTGCTGTGGAAATAAAGGACTAGTGAAATCTGGAACGATTGATTGACATTTTCCAAACGAAGTATTTACTATCTGGTTTTCGGATTTTACCAAGTTGTTCTGTAATTTTGTGTTCAAAAACATTGGATTGTCCCCACTTGTGTTCTTGTTCATTATAAATTAACAGATTTACAGTGTTTAAGTGTTCAGTATACACGTTAAATTAAAAATCATTTCAATTTTAAATTAATGATCACTTAAGGAAAATAAAAATTTTGTTTACGAAGATTACTTGTAACTCATCCAAAAATGAGTTTTTTTGTCTTTAGACAAAAGAAAACAATCAATGATCTCACATCTTATTGGTTCCTGTCAAATATTCTCAATGATTATTTGATTTCATATTTGATTTGGATAGCCACTTTAAACAAATACTCCTCATACGAAAATTCGTTTTCATTTACATATTTGTTTGAAGGATATACTTAACCGACAGTACCTAATCTTCATGGAATTTTGTTCTCTGAGCTGAATGGTTTGGTCAAATAGACTTGTATTTGAAGTTTGTGCTGATGATATTGTTCAGAACAACGATGAAAGCTCCAAGACCAAACCATCTAGCTCAGATAACAAAACTTCATCAAAATCATCCACCTTAGCTATAAATCTTCTCTACTATCTCAGTGCCTAATTTGTATAACATAGTTTCTATCATTAATATAAATTTGATCAAAACATTTCTTGCTGTTGTCTAGTTTTTTAAATTTCTTATGATTGCAATGAAGTTAACATTCTATTCAACTATTTCACTAAGTATTTTAACTTTAAGTTTTCAATGTACCTTTTTTTGTTGCATTCAACAGAATACAACTTCTATCTATTACAATATGATTTCACTATATTAGTCTCATCTATTTCATGTGCTAGTTGAACTAGAATTTAAAATGATAAGAAATAATAATAATAAAAATTTCTAATTTACTAGAATTATATCAAAATGATAGAGATTCAGTGTGAAACAAATTGTAACATCCATTTATATACTAAGCATGTTTAATTACAGTGTATCAATCTGGATCTTGTAAAACCATGTCATGATGAGTACTTTTTTGAATATTTTTTAAAAAGAAAATTAAAAACAAAAAAAACACACACAACGACAATTGAAATATGATTACGTATAGAAAACTATTATGTAATCCAATCTGTTTTGGTCACATGAATTTGTTTATACAGTGAACAAGGCTAGGATTGAATGAATTTTTCATATCATTAGTATTGTATTCAATATGGATCATCAGTGAAATTTTAATCTATTTAGTCTTATTTAAACATAATGTTTCATGACTGATGAACATTCTGTTGATGATCATTGTAAAATAAACATGAATTTATTGTTGTAGACCATTGGGAATGAAAGATTTCTTTGATAAACGTCTCGTTCTTATTTTTAACCAGTGGATAATAATGTTTAAGAGCCGATGGTTTGTGATCTGGATGACTTAACCGGATACCATTAATTGTTTTTGTAGATAACATCATCTACACAGATTTTAAGAGAAAACTAATCATTAAGAATATCTGCATAAAAACCATTTGCTTATTTGATTGACATGAATTTCACTTGTTTCTTGTTCATTATTGTGTTGCTATATTTTTGTACATAGATTTGATTTTTTCTTATGACCTGATCTGATTTTTCACCACAGAGTTGATTTGTCATTTTTCTATTGTTGTCGTAAAGTGTTGTGATGATCATGATAATTCTTGTCTTATATCTTGGTTTGACTTTAGTCAGACAACCATTGAGAGACAAGAAGCAGTGGACATCTCCACAAGAGTTTGTAGTTACAACGACACCAAGAATCAAAATAATAACCTTTCAAATGTTATTCTAAGGCGATAAAATTATCCTGAGTGGTAAAACGATAAACAAATTATGTTAAAGTAATTTTTAATATCAGATAAGTTTTATGGATATTACAGTAATTTCAATGGTTAAGATCATGAGTCAGTTGAATTAAATGAATATTAGTCGAATATCTGAAGCACGCTATCAAAAATGCAGTTATAGTATCTATAATGATTTTTTTGGAATTTATGTCCACTGTACATGAATACGTTAAGGGTACATAATTGCAAAAATATTTAATTTTTATTGTGATTGCTTCAACCTACGTCTTTCTTCATTCTTTCGAAATTTGTACTCCGATTTTGTAATCAAAAATGGGGTACATCAAAAGTTTCAAGTGAACTAAAACTGTCGTTCAATGCTTCTTGTTTTTTTGTTTTAATGAACCTTCTTTTAAGATCAGTTGATGATAAAAATTTGTATTATTTTTTATGTAGACACAACTAATTTTCCCCCATTTATTCATCTATCGTCCTATAAAGACATAACTTTCATAAACAAAGATAGATGATGGCTAACAATGGAATCTAGAATGCACGTTTCATCTTATTCAAGAGTCGTCTGCTGAATGTATCTGCATCCCAATGTTGTTATTTACTCCGAGACGAAACGAGCGTCCTAGATTCCACTATTAGCTATCATCTCAATTTGTAATGCTTGTGATTAAAGATAGTGTCAAGACAATCCGTACAAGATGCAAATATGCTAAT